CAATTTGGAAAAGGAAATCCTGAAGTATTAAAAGAGCCAGGCAAATGTTAACAAAAACTTGCTGCCTGAATATATAATGAACTCTTACCACTCAATAATGAAAAGAACTTCATCTCACTGGAAAAAAATGAAGATGATGGAAAACACTGTAAAGACACCAGGTGTTCTCTGATGGTGAGAACGTAATGAGTGCTATAATCGATATGACCATATGGTCTTCGCAACCGCTTTGAACGTTTTTAGTTGGATCCAAATATATCCATGATTCAAACTTATTTGGTTTCTACAGCCAACAGTTTGCCATATAGATACTTTACACAGTAGCATGAACCAGGAACCTGGTACACCTGAACTTAAAGGGAGGAAATCACAAATGGGGGGAGGTAATGTGCAACTACACCTGAAAGTCATTTCAGTATAACATCGTCATTATAATGATCTTGTTTAAAAAGACAAATGACTCAATTTAAAGATGGACAAAGGATTTGAATGTGTTTCTATAAAAAGATAATACAACTGGCCAATAAATACATGAGAAAATGCTTGACATCCTTAGCCATTGAGACTACTTCACTGCTCTAGCCTTGCTGAAATCATTTTTTTTTGGGGGGGGGGGGTTTGAACCCAGGGGCACTTAACCTCTGAGCCACATTCCCAGCCCCGCCTTTTATATTTAGAGAGCCTCTAAGTTGCTGAGGCTGGCCTTGAACTTACAATTCTCCTCTGTCTGCCTCCTCAGCAGCTGGGATTTCAGGTGTGGCTACTGAGCCCAATCTACCTTTGCTAAAATTCTTAAAATGTGATGGCTGACGGCAAGTCAAGGAGGTGGAGGAATGGGGACTCTCTCCTATGCTGTGGGAATGCAAAGTGGCCCAGCCCTTTGGAAGTTTATTGAAATGTTAAAAAATGGAGGTACTACAAGGCCCAGCAATTCAGCTCCCGGCTACAAAAGACAAACAAAAACAACTCTGTACCCAATGGCAGGAGGACATGGGAGGGAATCCCATGGTGAGCCAGGAAGCCAGCGAAGGGAGGGGCCACTTTCACAGCTCAGGAAGACCTGTCTCAGGGCTTCACTAGCCTCACCTGGATGTCCGGAGGACACGCCCCCGGTGACCTGACCACTTCCTACTAGGTGCTGCCTCTTAGAGCTTCCCTCACCTCCCACACTGGGGACCAAGCTGCCACACAGGGACCCTTGGGGTACAAACATCTGAACCATGGTGGCAGGACTGGATGCTCTGGCCATAGGAACTCCCAGTTCCCAGTCCAGGAGGCCCCGTAATCTCAAGTTGACCACATGGTCCTGCGGCAGTCAAGAAAAGGGCTTGTGTCCAAGAGCTGCTGGCTCAGCAACCTACTAGCCAATGCAGAAGGCTGATGTTGCCGCTGCTGGCCCCAGAACCAGTTTCTGACAGGGTCCACCCTGGCTCTGCCCCTCACACGACTCACACCCAAATCAGTCATGACCAGTGGAATCTGACCATGTCCAGAACCTTCCCTGCGTGAAGTTCTGGAGAAGGGAGATTTTAGCTTCCAGCCTCTGCTGTGAGAATGGGGCTAGGTTCTGTCTTCCTCCAGGACATACTTCATATTCCTCGAACCTGTACTTCTTACTGTTCACTGAACTACATCCAATACATCATCTTCTGTGTCTGGCTTCTTCCACTGCGTGACTCCATCTGCAAGGTACCAGCAGCTCCTTCCTTTTTTTGGTACCAGGGATTGCACTCAGGGGGACTCGACCACGGAGCCACAGACCCAACTCTATTTTGTATTTTTATTTAAAAACAGGGTCTCACTGAGTTACTTAATGCCTTGCTGTTGCTAAGGCTGGCTTTGAACTCGCAATTCTCCTGCCTCATCCTCCCGAGCTGCTGAGATTACAGGCATGTGCCATGGTGTCTGGCATCTTTTTCCTTCTTAATGGCTGAGTAGTGGTCCCTTGTCGAGCTGTACCACCTGTGTCCATATGCACATCTTCTTTGGAGAAATGTTTGCTCAAATTCCCAGTCCATTTAAAAATTGGGCCATTTTTAATTTTTTCAGTTGTAAGGGCTCCTTATGCATTGTAACAAAATCCCTTGTGCTTTTTTAGTTGCTAGTTTTATAATATAGTTTGATTTGGGTTAAATCTTTTTTTTTTTTTTTTGTAGCTTTGAAACCAATTTGCCAAGTTTCATAAAAATTCTTGAATTCTTGGACTGGGGCTGTAGCTCAGTGGTAAAGCACTTGACTCATGTGTGAGGCACTGGGTTCAAACGTCAGCACCACATAAAAATAAATATATTGTGTGTTCACCTACAACTAAAAAATTTTTTTAAAAAATTCTTGAATTCTTTACTGACAATGTATTTGGGGGGCACTAGGAATGTAGAGGTGCTGTTCTTTCCTAGCATGCACAGGCCCTGGGTTTGATCCCCAGCACTGCCAAAAACAAAACAAAAAATCCATATGTATTGATTAATCTGAAGAATATTGAGTTTTCCCATTTGTTACATTCATTAATATGGTATCTTTTCCAAACTTTTAGCATTTTATCCATAACTATCCTGTACAATTTTTGGTCAACTTAATTCTGGCTACTGTTTGTCTGTTACAGCTGAGGTTTTCCTTCTTTTGGAGATTCCTGGGTGGTTGTGCTGGCACATGAGAAAGCTATTGGTACTTCTATGATTACGCCTGCAACACGCACTGATCTACTTCTCAAAATGCAGAGGCTTTTACAAAGATGAGCATATCCGCAAACAATTTTTGCTTCCTTTTCAATCTTGATTCCTCAAGAAAATACAAATGGCCAATTACATTGTCGAAGGGGGAAAAAAACGTCCACATCAGTAGAGGGATCCACACGTTTCCTGCAACAACTCTTGCTGTGGCCTTGATCATTTCACAGCTATTCTTTGAGAAATGACAAGAAGCCACTTATTTCAGACGAGATCGGGCGCGTTCAGGGTGGTATGGCCGTAGACAAGAAGCCACTTATTTCAGAAATGCCTTTTGAATTTATTTTTTAATTGTAAAATATATGTAAAATTCTTTTTATGTATTTTTTATCATTTATGTATTTTTATCATTATTTTGTATCATTTTAACCATTTTGTAAGTGTACAGTTCAGTGGTACTAAATACACTCTCCTGGTTGTGCAGCCATCCTCACCACCCATCTCCAGAACTTTCTCATCTTTCCCAACTAACTCTGCCCCACTCAACACTGACCCCACTGACAACACTTCTCCCGGCCTGGCATCCACCACGCCGCTTTCTTTCTTTGGAAACAGGCCACTTTAAACTTCCTGAGTGGGGTCAGAATATCTCTCTCTCTGTGACTGGCTTACTTCACTCCACAATGTCCTCAAGGTCAGCCACGCTGCAGCAGATGTCAGAATGTCCTTCCTGTCCTAACACAGCTCACTCATCTTTCCCTGTAGCAGTGGCCACCAGCCACCAACGTGAGTGTACAGCTCCCTCCAAGCCTCTGCTCTGGTCCTCCTGGCCACACTCCAGCGGTGGAACTGCAGGATAAGATGGCCATCCTCTGCTAAGAACCAGGCAGGCTTTTAAGTGACTTCTCGGTTTGCCAGGCTCAACAACCTCCACCAATATTTGCAAACTAACTGAACACACTTTAGGAGCCTGTTATTCTAAGTACGGACCCCACCTGGTGGACAAACTAGTTCAGGGGCTCCAAGCCCTTGTCAGACTGGGCCTCATGGGGGCCAGGGCTCTCTGCTTGGCCTCTGGGATGCCACACCTCCCTCACTGGCTTCCTCCTTTCATTCCTCCCCAGGCTCCTTGTGAACCTTTTCACTCAAACAGTGAACAGCAGCGACTCCATTCCCTCCAGCTGCCAGACCTAAGCCCAAGACCCTGCCCCCAGCTCCTCCCTGGGCACCATCCCCTTGGGGACCTTTGCCTAGGGGTCATGGTAGAAGTCCTCTTACAGTGAACCTCTCTTTGTCCTCCAAGACTAGTCTCTGTAAAGGGACAGTGATCCAGGTTGCCATCATGGCCTTGGGCCATAGAACCAAGTGATGTCACAAGGGTTGGCCATCAATAGCAATGTTCTAGACATCCAGTCTGGACACTGCTTGTCGTCCTGTGGCTAGAGTCGGGAGGGTGCAAAGCTGACGAAAAGAAGGTGGATACAGGAGTAAGCACGACCCTGCCAATGGCAGAGAGGGGTGAAAATGTGTTGTGGGTGGGAAGAGGGCTTGGGGGCCATGTGGATCCCCGCTGCTCCCAGGATGGCCCAGGCAGCCCAGTGAGTGGGGGGTGGTCACAGAACTAGAAAATGGCTTTTCACTAAGGTGAGCCCCCTTCTCCCCCCATGCCAGCCCCAAGGACCTTCATGAGGCATCCCCTCTTCTAAAGGCTCCCGCTGCAGCTTTCCTGGGCCAGCTCCCACCCACTCCGGAGGGAAGCCTTCCCTGGCCGCCCCGTGACCAGGTGAGAGCTGGGCCTCTGGGCGGGCCCTGTGAATGCCTGTGTGTGTGTCTGCCCAGGCCCAGCAGCCAAGACGCCCCCTGAGACCCTGGGATGGGAGACAGAGGCGCTCTGCACACCATGTCCTCCCGCAAGAGTCACAGGGCAGCACAGAAGCACCCTCTCCACCCAGAAAGTAAAAACAAAGGTTGGGGCTCGGAACCCCGGGCGAGGGGAGGCCTTCGCAGCGCTGGCGCCCTGGGGTTGCTGACCGTGCCTCCAAGAAGGCTGCCCGGGAGGGGAAGCGTGGCAGTCCCGCCGCCTGGAGCCCAAGGGAGGGCCTACGGGCCTCAGGCGGCTTCCCCCTGGGCTCTGCCCTCGGGCCAGGGCGTCTGCCCACCCCGCCGCCCTGCCCTCTCCTGCCTCCCCGTGCGCCCCCGCCTTTCCTGTCCAGGCCCCATCGGCTGCCCTCCCCTCCCTCCGACCCGCGATCTCTGCTCGCCACTGGGGGCCCAGGACACACCTTGGCCCGCCCGCAGGCCAAAACTACTGGACCTGGGAGCGCCACGGCCAGGTGCAGCTGCGGCTGGAGAAGAACTCGCTGGACTATGAGGCGCCGCTCACCGTGCACGACATGGTCATGGACACGGCCATCAAGTACGCCGACTACATCGCGCTGGGCTCCAAGCACAGGAACGGCTGGCACACGCTCACCTACATCGAGTACTACGAACAGTGCCGGCGCGCCGCCAAGGCCTTCCTCAAGGTAGGTCCCGCGCCGCGCCTGCGCGCCGCCCGCCTCTCTGCTGCGCCTGTGCACCGCGCCGCTGCGTCCCTCCCGCGCCTGCGCGGCGTCTCTCTCCACCGCGTGCTGCTCCGAGGCCGCCTCAGAGCTCAGGATTGAGAGCCTAAGGCTTAGGATCTGGGTTCCAGGCCTAGTCCCCGTTAGCCCCTCTGTGCCTCGTTTTCCCCATGTGAAACCATGTGAAACTCAGGGATTGTCTATTAAAAAATAAACAAATATATGCAAGATATATTTACATATAAAATGTTTTATGTTATACATACATGAAATGCGTTTTATATCTTATGCAAAAAATAAACTCCACAACTAAAATAGTAAGAAGTTATACTCAGGTATAACTAATTAGAACAAATAAAAAGTTTTCATGTTTTATATATCATACATAAAATAATGTGCATATGTTGTATGTGTAGATATATAATATGGATATTTATATATTTATATGTATATATGTCTATTATACATTTACATATGTGAACATAATTTTATACATGTTTTATATATTATATGTGTATATTTGTTTTATATATTATGCATATATTTCTTTTTTAAAATATGTTTTAGTTGTCAATGTACCTTTATTTTATTTATATGTGGAGCTGAGAATCAAACCCAGTGCCTCATGTATGCTAGGCAAGTGATCTACCACTGAGCTACAACCCCCGCCCTATATGTCTATTTCTATGTGTTTGTATTGTGTGTGTGTGTGTGTGTGCATATTTATTTATTTATTTATTTATTTATTATTTTTAGATGTAGATGGAAACAATACCTTTATTTTATTTGTTTGTTTTTATGTGATACATACATGAAATGCATTTTATATCTTATGAAAAAAATAAACTCCACAACTAGAATAGTGAGAAGTTATACTCCATTTATACTCCACTTGCCAGGGGTCAAACCCAGTGCCTCATGCATACTAGGGAAGCGCTCTACCATTGAGCCACAACCCAGGCCCCTTATTTATTTATTTTTAACAGTACTGGGATGTAGAATGCACAAACCCAGGAGCATTCTACATTTTAAGACAGGGTCTTGGAGCTGGGGTCATAGCTCAGTGGTAGAGCACTTGCCTAGCATAGGTTTGATTCTCAGCACCACATAAAAAATAAATAAATAAAACAAAGGGATTGTGTCATCTATGACTAAAAATATTTAAAAATTAAAAAAAAAAAAGACAGGGTCTCATTAAGTTGTCCAGGCTGGCCTCAAACTTACAATCTGTTTGCTTTAGCCTCCCAAGTAGCTGGGATTATGGACATGTATCACCAGGCCCAGCTGTATTAATATACATTATATGCAAAATATACTATGGTTTATGTATTATGCATATATAGCATATATCTTACACACATGAATGTTTTATATATTCCACTTATAAGTATATTTTAAATATGGGCTGTGGCTGTGGCTCAGTAGTAGAGCAGTTGCCTAGCATGTGTCAGGCACTGGGTTTGATTCTCAGCACCACATAAAAAATAAACAAATAAAGTAAAGGCATTCTGTCCATCTACAACCACCAGAATTTTTCTTTTAATAAATGAATACATATCTTAAATAGGTCTAATGTATTCAATATATCATATGTTTATATGTTGACATTATACATTTGATTCTTGTATACTAGATTAATATACACTGATGTTTCATGTATAAATATATGAAACACTCCAGAACCTAGTTCTTGGTGGGGGCTGGACTTGCACGCCTGGGTAGCTCCCCACACACTGGACTTGGCACTGCCATCAGCTGTCATTCTGAGGATTGTTGTTACTGGGTCTCTTCTCAGGTCTTTCCTGACTGTCCTTGTTCTTGAAACCCACCTCCCTATGCCCTCTGCGACATGGTTCCTTTGTCACTGCCCAGCCCTCATGGCCGCCGGATCCTGTGGTCATTTGTGTTTAGTTGGTCTGTCCCATGAGGATGAGAAGTGGGGACTGCCTTGCTCTGGCGCAGCTCCCTTCTGGTGTGTGTTGATGTATGAACACCCGTTTTTCAGGTTAGGAAAGGGACCCGAGTGATGCCCACTCAACACAATGAATAGCTGCAGTAGGTGACAGTGATCTGTGACCCAGAGGAAACTGGGGCAGAAAAGGGATTAGAAAGCGCCAAGGACGTGGTTGAAATTTTAAAATATGATGGCCATGGAGAGAGTCTCGGTGACAGAAGGTGACATTTCAGCAAAGACCACAGGAACTGGGGAAAAGAGCCACGGAGGAAGGAGCAAAAGCCCTGAGGCAGAACTGTGTCTGGCGTGTTGGAGGCTCAGCAAGGAGCCCCTGTTGGAGCAGAGGAAAGGGGAGGCAGGTGGGGGAGTAGGGCTGGTACTGGGGGCCTTGTGGGCTACAAAGAGGACTTGGACTTTAACGCCAGGAGGTGGAAGCTGTGGAGGGCTGGCTGGGAGACTTTGGGCAGAGAAGAGACAGAACTTGGCTCAGATGCCCACTGTACCCGCTCTGGCTGCTGTGGGGAGGAACGCAGGGAAAGCAGTCAAAGTGGAGATGAAGATACTTTGGCAGAGATGGAGGACAGGAGGAGTGATCAGATTTGAAGGTGGAACCAACAGAATTTTCCGTGGGTTGGGTGTGTCAGACAATGAAAGGCACTGAGAGTGACCAAGACTTCTCACCTGCGCATCATGGAGGTGGAGCCAAGGTCGACTGAGACTGTGGAAGGGTGAGAGGAGGGAGCAGGCATGGGCGGGGAGACATCAGCATTGCCACTGTGCTGCGTGGGGTCTGGGCGAGGAAGCAAAGACAGGCTGCTGTATCCAGGAGTCTGGGGTGGAAAGGAGAGACCCTGCCCAGGTCCGATGGGACCACCTGCCCAGTCCCCAGCCAGGGAGTGGAGCCCCGTGTGTGCCCTGTTGGATTGTCAGTCATGTGCGCAGGCAGAGCTTGACCGCCGGCCATCCACACCAACATTTTATCTGAGAAGGTCAAAACAATTCAAACCTAACAACCGGGAGCCACCAAAACCTCAGCCTGGGGGGGGGGGGAGACTGAAATGACGACACTGTGTCACTGAGAAGTTGCGTTTGACATCGTAGGGAAATAGCTGAAGGCCAGGAGAAGGGCCAAGATGCGTGGTGTGTGGACACAGTCAAGTTAGGAGAGCAGAGCGCAGAGTGGCCTGGCTCCACAGAATTTTCAGCATAAAATGCCAGAGCATGTTGTCAGTATCTTCTTGAGCTTCCTTAATCTCTGGGCTGCTGGGCTTTGGGTCCAGAACATGCTCTGTGGTGGACACTTGTCTGGGCCGGCAGTATTCCCTCCTGCAAGTTGTGACAGCCAAAAATGCTTCCAGGTGTCACCAAATGTCCCAGGGGGCAGAATCACCCTGGTCATGACCCCCATGAGTATATGGAAGCTGGTCTGTCATGAAGGCTGTCTTAGGAAAAAAGGACCAATGTTCCTCCGAGTGGGGATCCCCAGATTCTGGGCTCCCAAGCTTCCGGGCAGGTTGGGCGTGGTGACAGCCAAGCCCATCTGTGCCTGACAAGCTGTCCCTCCTCCAGCTGGGCCTGGAGCGCTTCCACAGCGTGGGGATCATGGGGTTCAACTCTGCGGAGTGGGCCATCGCCAGCATCGGAGCCATCATGGCAGGGTAAGGGGTACTGGTCTCTCTCCTGAGCCATTAAGGAGGAAGGCCACCAGCCCTCCCCCTTGTAGATGGTGGGGGTCTCATGGCAGAGTCCCCAGGACAGGGAGAGCTGACCTCCACTCCAGCTTAGGCTGTGCTCAGTGGGATTTGTCTAAGTGCCAGTCCGGAGCTCAGCTCACCTTCCAGACACTCTCTCCCCAGCAAACTCACACACCGCCTGTGACGCCCCTCTCCCTCCCCTCCTCCAGGAAGCCTTCCCTACCTCCCAGTCCTCAGGATTCCCCCACACTGAGCCCTCCCTCCACTAATCCCGAACACTGGGGGAATCCCTTAAGGACAGGCCCAGGCTTGGGCCATCCTTGAGTCCCACCTTCAGGGTACATCATGGTGGTTGGGGTACTGGGGACTCCCAAGAACCTTCTAGTTCTCCAGAGCACTCCCCAGCAGGCCTTCAGCTCCTGGATTCTGCTTCCAGAGGTTTCTCTGTTGGCATCTTGTCCACCACCTCCCCAAAAGCTTGCCAGGTCATCGCTGAGAACACGGATATGGACATCTTTGTGGTGGACAATGACAGGCAGCTGCAGAAAGTCACCCAGGTTAGTGACACTCTGGCCTGCGAAAACCAGGAGGCACACCAGGGGGCACAGTGCAGGCAAAGGCACGGGCCTCACCCAGTAATGAGGGGAGTCCCCTGTGTGTCCCATGAGTGGACATGACGTGCCACTCACCATGGCATTGTATAAGTGTAGTCACTGCCTCTGGTTCCAGAGCATTGTCACTGCCCTGAAGGGACAGTCACTCCCCAGACCTGGAAGCCAGCCATCCACCTTGTGTTTAGGGATTTGCTTGTGCAGATTTGTCACCTAAATGATATCATGCAACCAGATCCACGGTGGGGGACCTGACTGTCCACAGTGCGAGGCTGAGCGGCAGCGAGGTGCTCTTAGGCAGGGGCTCTGAGACCTTGCTCCCTGCTCTGGGTATACACCCAAAAGATTGGAAAATAGGATCTTGAAGAGAGATCTGAACCCACCCCGAGTCACAGTGGCATGATTCATAGTATTCAGGAGGGGGAAGGAACCCAAGTGTCCATCAACAGATCAATGGACAAATTCAGAGTGTCCAGCCAGACCCTGGAGTACCACTCAGCCCTGAGAGAGGACAGGCTCTGACACACATTGCAGCACGGGTGGACCTTGAGGACCTTGCACTCGGCAAGAACAGAACCAGAAGGACACTGGGTGTGGCTTTACTTATGTGAAACATCTAGGATATACAGATCCATGTGAAAGGTGGCTTCGTGGTCACCAGGGCTGAGGAAGGGGAATGACTGCTAATGGGCATGGGGTTTCCTTTTTGGATGAAGGAATGTTCTGGAACCAGGTCATATACACAGCATTATGAATGTGCTCCTGACTTCGTCTGCTTTAGAATGGTTCAGGGTGGTACGATCACACGTTATTTTGCCACATTAAGGACATGGGGGACCCCCTCTTCACCTCTGGAAGAAGCCCCGGACAGCAGGAGCCTGGGGGCTACTTGCTTCCATGCCCTGCTGAGCGCAGTGTGCCTTCCAGATCCAGAGCTACCTGAAGCATCTGAAGGGCATCGTGCAGTACAAGGATGAGCTTCAAGTGGAGCAGGAGAATCTATATTCAGTACGCCCCAGCCGGGGAGGGCGGGCAGGCAGCCACAGCTGGCCAGGGACCAAGAGCCCCAGCCTCTGGCCTGGGGCCGAGGACACTGGGCTGTGGGAGACACTGGGACTCCTTCCAGGGGCTGCCTCTGGCCCCAAGAGCCTAACCCACAGACCTCTCTGCAGTGGAAGGAGTTCCTGAACCTTGCAGGAGACATCTCAGATGAGAAACTTGACCGGGTCATCGACTCCCAAAAACCCAACCAGTGTTGCACCTTGGTCTACAGCATGGGGTCCACGAGCCTCTCAAAGATTGTGATGCTCAGCCATGACAATGTGAGTGATCTGCCTGGAGGGGGCTGGAACCTACCTGCCTGTCCCCAGCTGGCCATGTGGCTACTCCTGGGGATTGAGACTAAAACAGCCTGCAGGTGACTAGTCAGTTGCCCTTCAGATCACCTGGACCACGGCGGCCACCGTCCAGAGCCTCTGTTATAAGTGTCCCCCGGAAGGGCAGGAGGTCCTGGTGAGCTACTTGCCACTCAGCTACATCAAGGCCCAGATTTTCGACATGTGGGTGGCCATCTTGGTGGCGGGGACACTGTACTTTGCCCCACCAGAGGCTGGGAGAGTGGGTATGATTCCACGTCCCCCCGGAGCGGTGAGTGGCCTCCTCTCTCCCCCCTTTCTCTTCCCGCTTCTTCTCTCCCTCGAGGTCGGTGGCTAGGGAGGGCTCCCTGGGTGGGGGGCTCGGGCCAGTACAGAAATCCTCACCCTGCACCCCCTGGCTGTGCGGGCTCGGCCCTTCCCCTTTCTGGGCCTCAGTTTTTCCATGTGCAAGGCACGGGGGGTGGAGCAGACGTCAACCAATGTCACTGAGTGTGACAACATGTGGCCACCACTTGGGCCAGAAGGGCAAGTGCAGGCAGCTGGACTGAAGCACCAGGAGTGGAGTGGACACGCCCTCAGGGCTCTGGGCTAGTGAGCTGAGCCACACCGCGGGGTCCACCGCGCGCGAGAACAGCAGCCTAGAAAGGAAGGGAATTCTGTGGGGTGCCATGGCCAGGCCCATCATCCCAGCGGCCCGGGAGGCTGAGGCAGGAGGGTTGCAGGTTCAAAGCCAGCCTCAGCAACTTAGTGAGGCCCTAAGCAACTCAGGGAGACCCTGTCTCTAAATAAAATATAAAAAAAAAAAAGGGACTGGGATATGGCTCAGTGGGCAAGGGCCCCTGGGTTCAATCCCTGGTGCCTGGTACCAAAAAAAAAAAAGGAAGGGAATTCTGACACCTGGTGCAGTGTGCGCAGACCTTGAGGACAGTATGCTCAGTGAGAACCGGTCACAGAAGGACTCACCCTGCAGGACCCACCCACAGGAGGTCCCTGGAGTCTCCAGATCCACAGACAGGAAGCAGCACGGTGGGAGCCGGGGCTGGGGTGGGGTGTGGTGGTGAATGGGCAGTTTGGGGAGATAAGATCACTCTGGAGATGGATGGTGGGGACAGCTGCATGGGCATGTGACTGTGCTTTTGCCACTGAACCTAGACCTAGTTAATGAGGCTGGGCGAGGTGGCAAGTGCGTGTGGTCCCAGCTGCTCGGGAGGCTGAGGCAGGATTGCTTGAGCCCAGGAGTTCAAGGCCAGCCTGGGCAGCACGCTGAGAACCCCATTTCAAAAAAAAAAAAGGAGAAGAAAAAGAAAAACAGGTTAACATGGTGAATTTTGTACACTATTAAAAACAAAAGCACAGCAGGTCCCCAGCACAGGAGGTGAGACTCCCTTCCTGATGCGCCCGTGTGAACACAGAGGTGCACGTTGCCATCAAGCGTCACACTAACTGCCCTGGGACCACTGCCTGCAGACCTCCAGGGAAGGAGCTAGGAGTGGACAATTTCAGCTTTCTGGGCCAAGAGATCAATTAATGGTGTTTGTAGACTTAGGGAAAGAACGCGTTTTCACAAATTTCTTGAGGGGAAAAAAGGCAAGTTTTTATGGACATGAACATTGGAATTTCATGTCGTTTTCATTGTCACGGAGCCCTGCTGGGGGTGTGCTAGGGATGGAGCCCAAGACCTGGCGCCCAGCCCCTGTGTGACAATTTTCTTTTAAAATTTAAAGAGTAATTAATTTTAAAGAATTAATTTAAAACCTTTAAAAGAGCCAGGTGCAGTGGTGCACGCCTGTAATCCCAGTGGCTTGGGAGGCTGAGACAGGAGGATCACAAGTTCAAAGCCAGCCTCAGCAATGGCGAGGCACTAAGCAACTCAGTGAAATCCTGTCACCAAATAAAATATAAAATAGGGCTGGGATGTGGTTCAGGGGTTGAGTGCCCCTGAGTTCAATCTATGGGGCCAAACAAACAAAACGTTTAGATGATACACAGTTGTCAGTGTTTCTGGATTCAGCGTGACCATTCAATCCGTGGATCCCATCAGGGCAATCAACATTCGTACCGCCTTATGCACTGACCATTTTTGTGTTGGGATCCTTAGGCAATTTTTTTGTTTGTTTGTTTTTGGTTTTGTACCAGGGATTGAACCCAGGGGCACTCAACCACTGAGACACATCCCTAGACCCTTTTATTTTTTGAGACAGGGTCTTGCTAAGTTACTTAGGACCTCACTAAGAGCTGAGGGTGGACTCGAACTTGTGATCCTCCTGCCTCGGCCTCAAGAATCATTGAGATTGCAGGCACACGCCCCCGTGCCCAGCTCTTCTAGCAATATTTTAAAAGTACATACATAATGGCCTGCACAGGTGCCAGTGACCCTGGGTTCATCTTAATCAGTGTCTTGCTCTCCATCCTTCTCTACTAATATTCTGGTTGAGGTCATGGCAGAATCTTTCTTGGTAAGAGAAGACTTTAGGGGCTTGGGGGTATAGCAGCGGTAGAGCGTTTGCCTCCCATGTGCAAGGCCCTGGGTTCAATCCTCAGCACCACATAAAAATAAATAAATTAATTAATTAAATAAAGTTATTTTTAAAAAGAGAGAGAGAAGACTTTAAAATGTTGCAAAATCAGTTTATCCCGCCTCCACTGCCCCCGCCCCCACCCTCCCCTGGCCTCGCTCTGTGTGTCGCGTGCTTGTCTCTCCCCGTCTCAGCCTGGCCCTCTCCTCTTGGCTTGCTCTAGCCCTGTGCCCGTCTCTGTCTGGAGCTCTGTGTCTTTCTCCCTCCCTCTCTGTTTCTGTCTCTCTTCCTAGCACCATCTCTGAATGTCTCTGTCTCTCTCTCTCTCTCTCCCTCCCTGCCTCTATCTCTTCACTCTCTCCATCTCCTCCTTTCCCCTTCCTTCCCTCCCTCCCTCCCTTTCTCTTCCCCCTTCTCCCCCGCCCTCGTCTGCCCTCACTGCCTCCCTATGACGGCCTTGGGCCTTCACAAGCCCTCCTGGCTGCATCTCCATCCCTATGCCAGGGCAGATGCTTCTGGAGCCCACTCCTGCTCTGGATGTGGCCACCACTCCATCCCTATATCCTTCCAGCCCTACCCCAGCTCCTAGCCACCATCCTCAGGCCGAGAGTTCCAAATCTGTAGCCCCTAGGGTGGATGGAGGGCTGGACGTGGGCAGTGCTGTCCAGTTGGGGAACCAGCATGGCGCCCCATCCTGTCCCATGCAGGGCTTCCTGATGGACATGCTGCAGGAGGTGCAGCCCACCACGTTCTACGGCACCCCATGGATCTGGGAGAGGATGCTGGACAACCTCAAGACCAGCCAGCTGGACTCCTCCACCTTCCGCCGGAAGCTGGACTGCTGGGCCATGAAGCTGGGGCTCAACACCAACAGGAAGAGGATGTTTGAGTGAGGCTGGGCACCCGCAGGGACGCGGGGTGGGCGGCCGAGGCCACGCCAGGCTCCCATGGGTGTGCTTCTCAAGGCAGGTCCATCCCCCGCTGTGCTTCCGCTTGGCCAAGATGCTGACGTTCAACAGAGCCAGGAAGTTCCTGGGCCTGAGTCACTGCGAGCAGTTCTTCAACATTGGCCTGGGGCTCCCCACGGCCACCCTGGACTTCTTCCTCAGCCTGAACATCCCCATCTTCGAGCTCTATGGCCTGTCCGAGGGCACGGGCATCCACACCCTCTCCAGCCACCAGGCCTTCCGGCTGCCAAGGTGGGTTCTGGCGAGGACCTGGATGCACCCGGGGCTTGTGCAGTTCCCGAGTATGGCTGTCACCCCAGCCAGCCTCCCATCTAAGGAACATATGTCCCGAAGTACATGACCAGTACCCTTTCTGGGTCCGGACCCAAAGCCCTTTGGGTTTGTTTTTGATTTGAAAATCATTATTATTGTTTTTACTAAAGGTAAAAATAGTCATCTTTGACTGGTGTCTCTATGAGCTGCTATTAAAAGTGACCTCCAAGCACAGTAACCCAGGACAACATCTCATAGTTCCTGTGGGTCAGGAATCTGGGAGCTGCTTCCTAGGTCCTGAGTTTGGGGACAGGCTGCTGGCCAGGGCCATCTCTCCCAAAGGCCACTGGAGCTGGAGGGTTCTCTGCTGAGATGACTCCCTTGCAGGCTGAAGCTGGAGGCCCCACCCAGCTTCTTGCTGGCTCTTATCAGGAGGCTTAGTTCCTTTGCTATGTGGCCCTCGCCCCAGGGCTGCTTGAGGTTCCTCCTGACATGGCAGCCAACTTACCTCAGAGCAAGAGATCAAGGTGAAAGGCATGATGTCCTCTGGGACTAGGGCTCTGAGAGTGGCCAGATTTAGCAAAAAAAAAAAACCAAAAAACAGGACATCCAGTTAAGTTTGCACTTTAGATAAACAGTGAATCATTGTTTTAGCATATCCTATGTACTATATGGGCCATTCTTATACTAAAACCAAAATTTGCCTAACATTCAAATTTAAGCATGTGTCTTATATTTGATCTGACCTTAGAAGTGGCACTTGGTCAGTTCTGCCACATCTCTCCAGCCATGGGAGACACCAGACCTATCACCATGGGGGAGGGGTTTCACAAGGATGTGAACACCAGGAGGCACCGGGACCTTCAGTGTCCCAAAGGGGCTCACGGGGGAGGTTTAGCAGGGGATTTGGGCAGTAGTTGTTTCATGGCAGCTCCTGGGCTGGGCAGAACCCTCTACTGCAGGACCCGTTCTGGGTGGGTGGCTGACAGGGGCCCTCCCAGCTGCAGGGCACTGAGGGTGGCAGGTCCTGACCTCAGTCGTCCGTCCGAGTGGAGGGGGACGCTCTGGCGCTCGGCCTGGAGCGGGTGCAGCGCAGCCTGCTGGCCGTCCCCCTGGAGCGGTGCAGTGCGGTCTGCTGGCTGTCCCCCACCCTGCCGCCTCAGCCTTCGTACCTTCACATTTTTTCTCGTTGGCTTGCAGGTGGCAGGCCTCTCACTGTGTCCTCAAGTGACCAAAAAAGAAAAAAAAAACAAGCAGGAGTGTTCTCTGCAGCCTCTTTAATAAGGGCACTAATCCCACCTTGGGCCCCGCAAGTCCTGATCTGACCCAGTCACCTCCCACCCCGTCTGCAGGGACCACCCCGGGGAGTCCGGGTTTTAGCATGTGAATTTTGCCAGAAAGGGCACAGCTGGGGCCTCAGCGATGAGCACCTGGCCACTGCTTGGCCCCAGCTGAGTGTCCAGCTGGGTCTCCTGGGAGAAAGCAGGGCAGGGATGGGGGTGCCCGCATGTCCTGGTAGGAACCTGGAGCTTGGGGAGGCGAAGGGCCAGGTCTCCAAGCAGCTGAGCAGCAGGAGAGCCCCCTCCTGCCCCAGTATTCTGGATCCTACTTCTCCTGCATGGAAACCCGCAGCAGCAGCTGGCCCGCCCTAGAGGCGTCTTGCTGTGTCCCCTGGGCTGGGGGCCATGAGATCACACTGGCAGTCTCCCTTCAACCTTGGCTCTGTGCCTTGTGGGACTCTAGGTCCCAGAGGAAGCCAGGAACCCTTAAAAGGGGCTGCGCACAGGGTGTGGCACCTGGCAGCGTCTGACCACCCCCCTCCCCTCCAGCTGTGGGAAGGGGCTCCCCAACACCCACACCAAGGTGAAGAAGGAGAACGAGAAGTGCATTGGGAACATCTGCATCTGGGGCCGGAACATCTTCATGGGGTATCTCAATGACAAGGAGGGCACCCAGAAGATGATGGACTGCTACGGCTGGATGAACACCAGGGACCTGGGCTGCTTGGACGTTAATGGCTTCCTTTATGTCTTGGGCAATGTCAAGGGTGAGGCAGGGTTGGGCCTGTGGGGCTGCCATGGATGGTGGTGCAGGTGGCATACAGCACAAGGCCACTTAGGGCCAATACTGGGCTTGGAGGCAGGGCCCCCCTTGTGTGCCTGGGCTGCTGTTCTGCAAGCAGGGGCTGCTGTGGGACGGTGTCTCCTACCTGATCTGCTGCATTGGCCTCCACGGTGGCCAACTGGATGTGGCTTTTCAGAGTTGACCCTCCTCCCTCCCACATGTAGACCTCATCACCCTGAGCTCAGGGGAGAAGATCAACCCCCGCCCCATCGAGGAGCGGGTGAAGATGCAGATACCCATCGTGCGCCACGTCATGGTGGTGGGCCAGGACGCCCCGTACCTGTGTGCCCTCCTCACACTGAAGGTGCCTCAGACAGTCTGGGATGGCGGCTGGTTGGTGGGAACTGCTGTCCTGTTGCAGGAAGAGGAAATCGAGGCTCAGAGCTGGGGGGTGACTTGTCAGTCCCCAGCACGGAGGGCCCCCCTGGCTCTGAGGGCAGCGGAGCCTGGTGTTTCTCCTATGGCCTTTCTCAGAGTGGGTGGAGGGCCACTGCTCAGGGATGCCTGGTCCAGGACCTCGGCCACACTCCGATTGTAGGGGAGAGTGGGCTCTGAGGACCAGAGGTGCTGGCCTCCACAGGGACAGGAACTCCCCCGGAGAGCAGCATCCCAGCCACGCCAGGCTCGCCCTCTCCAGGAGGGGAGCCCTGCACACAGGGGACATCCCCTCCCTCCTCCTGGAGGCAGCCAGGACCTGGGTCTGGGAGTGAGTGCGGTCGCAGTGGATGGGCTGGGTGGAACAGGACAGACGGTCTAGTGACCGGTGACCCATGGTGGCCAGCCCCTGGCCTGGTGTGGTGGTGGGTGTGGATGGTTGGGGGGCAGCCTGACCCCGGCCCCCTCCACAGTGCCAGATCAACTCAGAGACTGGAGAGCCCCGCACAGCACTGACCAGCGAAGCCGTGGCTTTCTGCCGGAAGCTCAAGAGCCAGTCCACCAGGCTGACGGACATCCTCCACAAACGCGACCCCGTTGTCATGGAGTTCATCAGCCAGGGGATTAAGGCTGTGAATGCAGGGGCGCCCTCGGAGAGTGCCAGGATCATCAAGTGGGCCATACTGGACACAGACTTCTCCGTGGGTGGCGGGGAGCTCGGTGAGCAGATGGTGGGCCGTGGTCCTGGTTGGTCACTGGCCTGCCAGCTCCTCAGACATGGGGGATAGGCCTTGACCAGCAAAACCTCCCCAGCCCCGTGCGTGTGTGGGATGCGATGAGGAGGCTCCTTTCCCCAGGGCTTCCTCTGGAATGGAAGAGGCGCTGCCCCCAACGCTGCACCCCACCCTGCATGTGTCCACATCTGATCCAGACTTTTGGTGCAGTCTCCACCTGAGAGTGTCCATGGAGTCTGGATTTTGTCCTTGAAGTGTGCCCCAGGGGTCATTTGCACCCTAGGACCTTGAACACTTTTGTCAGAATGCTCCAGATCTCAGGGTGGGGTCCCCACACCTGCCCCCGGTTCCCTTCCGATGGCTCCCAGTAGAGCCTCCAGCTCCCCAGGACCCGCCCTCTACACCCTGGAGCCGCTTGCCCTGCTGCGTGGGGGCCTCCCAGGGGCAGGTCCACTTCATACCTCTGCTCTGTCACAGGAATCACGGAAAGACTGAAGAGGGTGGCGGTGGCCAAGATGTACCAAGCGGAAATCAATGACTTCTATGAGGATTTGGGTTAATGACCAGGAGGCTCTGCTGGGCTGCCTTCTCCGCAGGTGGCCTGACCCCTGCCTCTCTCCCTCCTGTTGACAGTCCAGGGCTGATTCCCAGAGGAAGGGAAAGTGCCTGTAGTGAGGCCGGTTTGAAGGAAACTGGCTCTCTCTGGACAAGTGCTTTACAGTTTCATAATAAACTTGGTTCACTAGGGCGGCTCTCAGCTGGGACGATCCTGCCCCCGGGGCATCCTGGGTGGTGTCTGGGCACCTGTGTCTGTCAGCCTGGGGAGCTGATGGCCTGGAGTGCTCAGCAGGAGGAACTGCCCGCCCAGCTCTGAGATGTCTCAGTGCTGAGAGGGACCCTGGGCTCAACCAAGTCCTCACTCTGGCTTTGAGTGGAGGTCCTGGGAGACTCAAAACTGCTGCATTGGAGCCCACAGGCTTCTTGCTTTACTCTCAAAATGATTCATGTGAGAAGCCACTGAGGGGCAGCTAGAGACTGGCTCCTCCACAGACAGGGGCCACTGCTGTGTGCCAGTGCCCGAGGCACAGGTGCTGGGTGAGCCTAGGTGCAGGGAGGAGGGGACACCCAGGTTCACACACTGTACTCATGAGGAACACTTAGGGGACTCATGGTTCAAATGGTGCACATTAAACCCCACCTAGAACCCAACCATTAGAAGAGATGTGGAAATGAGCTCAGAGCCAGGCACGGTGGCCATGCCTGTCATCCCAGTGAGTTGGGAGGCTGAGACAGGAGGATTGCAAGGTTGAGGCCATCCTTAACAACTTAGTGACAGCCTGTCTCAAAATGAAAAATAAGCAGGGCTGGGGGTGCCAACCTCAGGAGCTCAGATCCAAGACCCTCCCCCAAAGCTGCATTAGTCTTCGCAGGAAGGGCAGGGGCAGAGGAGGCTGCAGCCCTCATGTTGGGACTGCAACTTTTGGCTGTTGACTAGGAGAAAGGAGGACACATGCTCCTCGAGTGATCCAGGGCTCAGCTGTGTCCTGTCCTCCGGCTGCCACCTGCTGACAAGTGGTCTCCATCCATGGCTGCTACTGGGGGCGGGGTAGCGGCAGAGGGTATTGCCAGCAGTGCTGCTCGCTGGGTAGAGTGAGAGCTCTGCTTTGGGTTCCATCAACAGGCTGGCTGTCACCTGGACTCCTGCCAGGGGTGCCTCTGCCCCCATTTTCTTTTCCCGCCACCTCCACCTCCCTATTCACCTCCCCACCCAACCATGCGCCTCCATCCTCTGAAGTCAGGCTCCCCTTGCCACCCAGACCTTGCTGCCTGCTTCCAAGGGGACAGCCGAGCAGCAGCAAAGGCCACGTGCACCCTGGGGGGCTGCGTCTGCTTCTCCAGGATGCCAACCCGTCACACTGTCGACCCCACCTGCAGCCCACCAGGCTTGGTGCCAGCCTTCCCTCCCTCTCCTGGTAGTGGGTCTACAGGCACGGGGACGAGAGGACTGTGCACCTTGTCCCGGGACACCACATGCATGCAGAGGGCTGCTTTCTCATCTGACTTTATTTCACTTTTTTTTTTCTATAAAACTCCTCCATAATTTCACAATTTAACCAAAAAAAAAAAAAAAAAAAAGTTTAAAATTCAGGACAAACAATCCTGTAACTCATTACAAACACAATTCTCCTTATTCCTTTTTCCCAGGAGTTGGTCTCAGGCCGATTAAGTGTCCCAGTTCCTCAGTTCCTAGAGACATATTCTGGTAAAAACCCTTGCGGGTGAGAAAGGCTTGGACACCCTTCGCTGCCCGGCATCGGTTTACATTTTGCTCAGGAGAAAGTGAAACACAGGGATTTGCACCAGAGCAGGCGGCTTTAACATGAGACACATGGCAGTCACAGAGTGCCGGGCCCGTCCTATGGAAGCGTCCCCAGAGCCCAGCGGGGGTGGGGAGCAGCAGGAACCCCGTAGTCAGGTCCTGGCTGCCCGGCACCTCCATTGGTGGCCACAGGGCCAGTCCTGGGCCCATAGCAGCTCCAGGGGACAATGGCGAGGCCTTCCGGTCAGAGGAGGTAACTGAGAAATGGGTCGAAGCTTCCGGAGGCCACGGAACTGCAGGAAGGACTGGACGCTGCTGCCGAGGGCAGGCAGGAGGGCTTCCCACATTGCTGTGAGGACCGGACAATCCCACCAAGGAGAAAGAACGGCCCCTTGGGCTGAGGGCCCACTGGTGACCTGCTGCTTCTGCACCGAGGACTGAACAGCTGCCATCTTCCCAGCAGCCTATGCAGGGCCGGTCTGTTCTGTCCATGTCTTGGAGTGTTCCCAGAGAAGGAGACGTCCCACTCTGGAGTACTGGTGGCCTGCCCTCCTCCTTTTGAAGGCAGTGGGCAGGAAAGTGAGCGCGGGAGAGTCGGTGCTGAGGCTTCCTCTGAGTTCCTGGCCTTTCCCCGAGAATCTGGGGCTCTCCCCAGCTGGAGCTGGGGTCCCCCCAGGGAGTGTTCAGGTCTGCTTGACAGGCAGACCCAGAGCGAGGACAAGACGAGGGACCCTGCCGCCTCCTGTGTCTGAACATCAGCAAGCATCTCGAGATGGAGACGCCCACCACGGGCTGGAGAACTGGGGGCCACCGCAGGCCCAGTCCTCCTTCCCACGCCGTGTCAGGGCGCGAACACTGGAACAGACTCTGAAGCTGGGGGTCGGGGTGTGGAGGAGCTCTGGATCAAGGTCTGGGAAAACCCAGAGTTGGCTGACTACAAGGGCTCCGGGCCTGGAAAGGCGGGCCGGGCAGAGCTGGACTGGCTCGGTCCTTGGAGAATCCCAGGTGCACAGTTCAGCCTCCAGGCGGCACCCAGGGTGAACCGTAGCCATGGAGGCGGAAGTCGCACGAGGAGAGGAGCCTGAGGCCTATGCCCGGTAGGGCCCACACCCCAGCCACAGGCTGAGTGCACACGCACCTCCAAACCACAGACTATCCCGTCTTATTTGGCAAAAGCTCATTTTTTTTTTTTTTTTTTTTCAGTTCGAAGACTTGATTAACAGAAGGGGAGGAAGAGAATCCTACAGGAGGAGCAGCCCAGAGGCTAAGCGTCTGTCCCTAGAGACTGGGTACCCACCTGAGGAGCTGCCAGGGAGGGGCAGCTCCCCCAGTGCCCTGAGGACTGGCCGCCCCGTGGTCATGTTCACTGGCTCTGGGAGCCCCGGTAGGGGGGCAGCGGCATCCTTGGACCCACAAAGTGGGGGTTCCTCTGTGCCCTGGGAGGCCAGCCGGCAAGAAGACCCACGGAGACATCTTAACCTATAAGCCCCACCTTACCCCCCCACCCCCCACGTGCACCGTGGCCACAGAAACGCACATTGGAAACTGCTTCTGGACACACAGCGCGCACATATATATACTATACATAGAGCTGCACAGCACGGAGGCCTGGCACAGTGAGGGCCCACACAGGACGCAACGCCGGCTGGCACAGAGGGCAGCGTGGCCCAGCCTGGTGCAGACACAGACAGAGCCTCCCCAGGTCCCAGGCAGGCTGCGGAGGTGGCCCCAGCTGCTCAGAGAGGCCCAGACAGAGAAAAGGCGGCACACAGCCCCCATGGAGCTGGGGACAGAGCCACCATTTGTTTAGGGGGCTGGTCCCTAGGTCGGATGAGGGGCCCTCAGTCATACACATTCCATGGAATTTTCTTCCTCTTTCGGGAGCGAGGCCCAGCGCTGCCTTCAACATAAACCGCATTCTGAGGGGAGCCCGGGTGATGGTGCACATGAGGCTGGGAGCCGCAGCACTGGCCCGACCCCTGGGCGCCAGGTTCCCAACAGGGTGGTGGGTGGCAGGCTGGAAGCCACCCAGAAAAGTGCAGCTGGCTGTGAGGGCTGAGGGCAGGGCGGTCACTAAGGCAGTGCTGCGGGCGGGCAAGTCAAGAGAGAGGAAGGCAGGCAGGGCCTGGACATGGCCTCCCAGGACCCTGGCGGTGGGGGCCTGGCACCTGGCCCAGGGTCATGTGGCCACGGCCTCCAGGTAGCTCTGCAGCTTGCGCACGGTCGTCTCGTCCAGAGAGAAGAGATCGAAGTCAAAGGTGGTATTGGTGACATTGAAGTGGCCAGTCTCCTCAATCAGGTTCACGATCTGCAAGGCAGAGGCAGGTGGCCTTGGGTCAGGAGGCTGAGGGAAGGGAGGCTCCGGGGTAGGGTGCTCGTGCCCCACCCGCACCAGGCAGTACCTGCTGCAGCACATTGCGCTCCCGCAGTGCCATCAGCCTCCGGTGCAGCTCCACCAGCTCGTCTGTGTAGGCCTGGGAGGGCGGGAGCCTCAGCGCAGCCCCCCAGCCCGCCCGCCCCACCTGCAGCCCCTCCAGCACAGTGCCTGCCCCCTGGGGGGAAAGCACCTCCTTGGGACCTGGGGAAAGGCCACCCCCTCCCGAGGACAGTCCAGCTTTGGGGGCTCAAAGCCTCTAGGCTGTGCCGCCCACCCGGCCCACCCCGCCCGGCCACCTTGTCGTAGGCGCCTTTCTTGAGGATCTTCTCAGGCTTGCTGCAGGGCTCGGGGCTCCTCCGGCCTGATGCCTGCGGGGAACCCAACCAAGGTCCCTGTTGAGCTCATTCCTTCTTCTGACCAACCCCTCCAAACCCTCCCAGGAGGGCCACAGAGACCTCATGTGGGGCCTGGGGGTGAGGAGCTCACCTTGCTGTTGGGTGGGGGGGGCTTCTGCGGGGGTGGGGGCTCACGACCAGGCAAGCAGGAGTCGGCGCTATTGTCACTCTCACTGTCACTGAAACTCAACCTGAATGACAGACAAGATTGCACGTCAGGTGTAACGGCCACTGGCCTTAAGATAGTGCCCTGTACTCAGGCTGCGGTGTTGGCACCAGCCTGCGCTGGGCTCCAGGAGGCCGAATGGAGGAAGGGTGTGCCCATGTGAGGTCACCACTGCCAGAGAGGGTGTGTCAGGAGTCGGCCCTTCAGCCCGGCTCTGCTCCTTTCCAGAAGGTCCCGCCTGCCAGAGGATCTGCCCCATGCAGGGCCCTGATGCCCAGCGGGGCCACAAACATGGGGGTGTC